CGGGTCACTAGTCGGTCATACCGCAGGAACGCGATGTCTCCCCTCGCCCTGGCCTCCCTTAACCTCGGCATCAACTCCCTTCTTCTCTTCCTCACAGACTCGGTGTAATCTTCATTTATATAAATATTAGATCCTTTAAGCTTCTTTGCTTGTTGCAGTATGTGTGCCTTATCTTTCTCTTTCATCAACTTTACCATCACCGCCCTCGGTCCCCGATCAGAAGGTTTCCCGACTCTGTGAGCCCGCTCCATCTCAATTTCTTGATGAATTTGCAGTTTATCCTTTAATATTTCCTTCACCTTACATTCCGCTTCCGTCCAGCTTTCTCCAGCTGACTCCTTGATTCCCTCGAAGATCAGGTTTTTTCACTTGGACTGTACTTCCAAATGCTCCATTTTATCCGTTATGGCTCTTAGACTCTCACAAGTTTTGTAGACATCATCCCTTGTTTCCTTGGTTTGTATTTGTGATTGTGATTGTGTGCATTAGTTTGTCTAACGCAATTTGCAGCTTGCATTGCAATAAAAGATCAGCTAGCCAATTTTTTGTCAGACATGGCCTAAGAGTCACTGGGATAATCAAACTTACAGTAGGACCTAAACAAACAATACCAATTAGAAAAGAGTGGTTCGGAAAAATCTGGGTTTGTGCTCCTTTTAGACATTATCTGTTATGTTGAGTGTCTTGGCTCTTACCTCGTCACATCTCACATTATGCTTAGGATTTGGATGGGAGGATACGCTCAGAGTGTACAGGTGGAGCTTTGGAGATACGAACAGTCATGGCAGCAAAGTGTAGCTTTTAAGTGAGCAAGATACCTGCAAAAAAGTTAGCAAAGCACTGATGAGCCAAATGCTAAAGGATGAATAAACGTTGCAGTGAGTCCACTATGCCTTGTGAGTGGAGCAGCAGACTCGAGGTGGCTGTCTAGACCTGCTGTCAGGCTTAGCTGCGTTTCTTGAGTGAGGAGGCATTAAGAGGTTTCTGCATACCGTCTATCAGAGAATGCTATAAGCAAATCTTATTTTGCTCAGCATACATATTCTCTGCCAGTTTACTCTCATGACCGAACTCTTTTAAGCTATGAGAGATTGCATGTAGGCCAGTAGAGATGCTATTATTGTATTTCCATTCACTGTAGGTTACTATGAGTAAGAAAGACAGATGACCACAGGATGCAATAGCAAAACTCAGTCACTTGGGATATATGTGGCATGATTCTCTTAACTACCACAAACTACTTCACCAACCCTCTGGGCACCATTTTCATTTCCATTTGAGCCATTTAACTGATCTATTAAATTAGTGCAACAGTACCATAAGTACTCTATTCTCAGACCAGCAACATTTCAAGTCAATGATAATGACTGTCATGATCAGAGTGCCCTGAAATCTGTGAGGTAATCACACAAGACCACAGCTACAGTAACTAGGATTAGAGGAGTGTAGAGAAGGAGAGGATGTACGAGTTGGTGAAAAGTTTGTTAGGAACAGTACTTCTTGAAACGAGCAGAGTAAGGATGGAAAAAGAATTTGAGAAAGTGCCACTAGTGGTGTGAAATGTTGTTCCTTCTCCTCCCTCTACTTGCAGTTCCAGCAGACGTCTGAGCACGCTCTGTTCTCCACCTCTGTGGTGGACATCTTCACTCAGCTCAACCAGAGCTTTGAGATCATCAAGAAGCTGGACTGCCCTGACCCCTCTGTGGTGGCCCACTATAACCGCCGCTTCGCCAAGGTGCGCTGCTTTAAACATGAGCATTGTTTACATTCGCTCCAGTTAATGCTGCCACCATCAGACACTTATCTCATATGTCTCCTGTGTTATGGACAGGCAGCTGCACAAACATGAACACAGGCAGACACAGCTATATACATTATAAGCACATTAAAAATATCTCCTCTCTTTACAGAAAATGCCATTTAGATCCATTTGGTTTGATTTGTTTTCAGATACTGTGCAAATGTTTTAGCCCTGAAGAAAAAAAATTGCCATGAATAATTGTTGTTAATCATATACCTTAGGAACCTTAGTAGTTGGTTTGACTTCCCCCTTTCCTTCCTTCTCTAGCTGTATGTTTGGATTTGCTTTGGTCCTTCAGGATGAATCTGTGATGTGTTCCTGATGCTGTTGTGTGCTGCAGTGCTCTGTGTTTCTGTGTTTTCTGTCTCCATATATTGGGAGTAAATGTACAGTGGCCCAGTCACAGTATACATCAGACCCTTTTCCATCACCCGGTACCGGCTCAACTCAGGTTTACTCAGCTCTGCTTAACATTTAATCCAGAAAATGATCTATGGAATGAACAGTTATCAGAACAATAATTCCTACTTTCAACGGTTTCTTGGGGTAGTTTCTCCATGAGTTCCCACTTCTGAGGATTTCAGTTCATGTGGTACAGCAGAAATCTTATAACGTGTTCAGCAACCTTGCATCTTCTCTACACATTTTTAAAGTTTGAGCTCCTCCTCCTTTACTAACTAACTTGTGTGTAGGAAACATTGTTACAATTAATTATTTCCTCAGTACAGATGTTATTCATTCATTCATATCTATGACCATACCCCGACAGATATGGTATGAATATGTGGTCGTTTAATAAGACAATGAACTACAATCCCTGCAGTGATCCAGGGAGGGCCAGTGTTTTTACCTAAATCTTCCTTCGTGGTCATTTGAACCTCTGAGATACTGACTGATGAGTTTTAAGTATTTGCTTGCAAAATACACATACACAGCATAGTGTTTTGTAATTGAGCCTTCACTCATATTTCTTCTAATTTAATTGAAGTAAGTTGCTTTTAGGCCTGGCTATTAAATCTAACAAACCATGCAGAAGAATTGTGCGTTTGTGTTTGTGTGTGCGGTGTGTGATGGCTCGATCAATATGGGACTCATTAAGTAAAGAATGGCTAATGTAGGCCATCACTCTGAGCTGTCCGTCTCTCTGTCCCCAGCCCTCGACTGCCTTTTCAATTTCTGCCACTCCGTTCGTGTTAATCTCTCTGTCTCTGCCATTTCATCCTCTCTGTCTTAGCTTCAGTCTGTTTTTCATCTGCTCTCCAATCACCTTTCTCCTCCTTTATCTTAAGATATTTTTCTATCTACACTGGCTTCAGAAGGTTTTCAGACCCTTTCGCTTTTTGCACACTTTGTGTTGCACATGTGCAATGATTTTAAACAAATAAAATAATTTCCATTTTGCCCATCAATCTACACTAAGTGACCCATAATGACACATCTTTGCAAATGTATTAGAAACCACAAACTGAAGTCTCTCACTGACAGGAGTATTCAGACCCCCAAATCAGTAGAGGCCCAATTACAGCTTCCAGTCTTCTTGGGTGAGTCTCTTCAGCTTTGCATACCTGCATTTGGGCAGTTTATCCCATCTGTCCTAGCAAATCCTCTCAAATTGAATGGAATGTGTCTGTGAACTGCCATCCTCAGATCTCTCTACAGATGTTCTGTGGGGTTTAAGTCTGTGTTTTCATGCTGTATGCCATATGACTATTACTCAGAGTTAAAGGAGTAGCCACTACCTAAAAGGCCTAATTGATGGAGGTTTGTGGCAGGTTCTCCCCTCTGCAGAGGACTTCTGAAGCTTTCCTTGGCCTCTTATGCCCAATTCTGGGAAGAATCCTGGTAGTTCCACAGTTCTTCCGTTTCAATATTTGAGGCCTCTCCACTCCAGGAAACACTCAAAGCTTTAGCAGTGATTCTATACCTGTACCTTGATCTATGTGTTGCCACACTTTTATTGCAGAGGTCTACAGACTTCATGGCTTAGTTTCTGTCCTGACATGCAGTGTGAAACATTGTGGGACCTTATAGTATATACACAGGGGTGTGCCATTTAAACTATGTCCAGTCAATACAGTTTGTCACAGATGGACTTAAAAAAATAATAAAGCGTTCAGAAAGTGAAGGAGTCAGAATATTTGAAACCAAAGTCACTGTATATATCTGCTCTTTATGTCTATGTAGGATCCATGTGTCTTTCTTTTTTCCCTCTTTGTCATGC